GAGAGGTGGGGTCACCCTTGACGGTCCCCAGTCCATCACAGGGCCACACAGAGACACACAAGGACCAGCAACCAGCCACACTCACATTCACTCTTAATGGTTGTTTGGAGTCCAATCTGGGAGAAAGCTGGAGAACCCGGAGGGAACCCACATACACAGGCGAACATGCAGACTCCACACCACACTCTCTTGCTAGAAGTTCGAGAGATACGATAATTTTTGTCAGCCTCCAGTCTCCCCAACAGTATTTCACAACTCATATATCCCTTTTCAGATGTAAATGCCCCATTAGCGCTGTCGTTGGAGAACCATTCCAACCCCTTCAGCAGGGGTGGGGGGGATCATATTTGTAATCAAATATAACTAGGTGTACGTCATCAGTGTCGCCAACACCGGAATTATTTCAGAAAGCGGAGCCACCAGCGCATTGATAAGACGATAACTGATCTGTACAATGAAAATAGCATCGTAAGCTGACAACAATAACAAGTAATGACCATCTGCCCTATTTACTAGAGGGCAAAAAAGCAAACATCATCCACTTCTGCACCGCAGCGGCGCTTGCGATTTCCAGCGCAAAACCGATCTGGCGGCAGGGGGAAATGTAAAGGTTGAGGTTGGGAAGTCTACCTCCCAGAATAAATAGGCCCAACAGATTAACTCAGAGTTATTGAGATTTCAAGCTTGGCGTCCAAGAAGGAGAGTGAGTGCTTTGGTTTGACATGGCTGTAACAGACACGCATGTGTTTACAAGCCATGCACAGGGACCAAAGAGAGTCCACCAAAGTTCAATCTGCGACTTGCAAATGAACTTCGTAACACGTTTATGCAAGAATAGAGTCATACTGTTTGTGATTTTCTAAGATGAAATTTTGAATGACATGAAAAGGCGAGACACGACAAAATACAATTATTCTATCTTTCACATAGTGAGCGTTGCAATATAAATGAGTCTGTTGGTAAATGGACAATAAAAAATAGGCTCTTCCTGGCCTTGGAAAAGCATGGTTATGACCTTTTCTCAGCTCAGGAACTAGGACCTGTATGATATCTGGTTGTTCAATAGGTTTACCTAAATAAAATTTTTAGATATGACTTATCAATAGATTCCTGCAAAAAGGTCTGATGTTGCAGGGGCAGGTAATGAAAAGTGCTTGGAACATGCTCTTGTTCTGATGTCAGTTTGTTTCAGGCTTTATCCAGTCTCATGTACAGGGGCTGGTCATATCACAAGTTATTTGCATTACAGTGGGGACAGTTAGCAAGGCAGAGTAAATACACAAACTTGAAGAGGTGACTGTCCAGGGTGTGCCCCACCTCTCGCCCATTGGCCACTGGGATAGGCTCCAGTTCTCCCCGCGACCCCATTAGGGAATAGGCGATAACGATAATGGATGGATGGAATGTAAGTTTCTGAGACCTCTTGTGCAGGATACAGAAACTCAGTGGCGGACTGTGCATTTTACACCTAGGCCTTGAGTAGTGCTCCGTCTGAATCAATTCACCCCTCAATAACTATTTTATGGTTATAGAAATCATCTTATTATGAAGGAATACAGTAGGGATGTCCCGATCCAGCTTTTTGTATTAAAGTTGAAAGTTATTTAGCTACTTATTTAGTTGTCAGACTCACGTTGAACAGGGATTTACTCTTGTAACAACTGAAAGTTTAGGACACAGACCTGTGGGTTACAGATGCTAATGCTTGTGTGGGATCGGATTTAAAAAAAAATGGATCTGGAGTCTGGATCGGCAGTTTCTCATGCCTGCCGATACGATCTAAACATCGGATTGGGACCAGCCTAAAATACAGTATAATGATCAGGGGTGCACAAGTCTTCTACTCCTGCAGCTGCGACCCCCCCCCCCCCAAAAAAAAATAAATCCTCAATAATATTGCGAGTTTATGAGGATATTATTGAGGAAAAAAGCAACATTTTACTCACTTTTCTTGAAAAGTCCGTCTTGAAAATGGCTTTGACGGTAAATCCGCCACCAAATAATAAAATAGCTATTACACCAACACAAATATATTTCGGTTTGTTTGCTAGCTTTGCCAGGTACGCTATCTGACTATCCAATAAGCGGTGTGAATACGGTGACGTTGCCTTACACCTGCTAGAAGGCCCCGGTGTCACCAACTTAAAATCTGATTGGTGAAAGCAGCAGTGTACTCTTCGTACATGTCGATGCAGTTTGTAGGGAATCCCGTAGGGTGTACTCCAACCAAGGACAGTGACTACAATCTCTAACCAAAAATGATGGCATCGTCAGTCTCAACAGATGTTTAATGTTTTTCGACGTATGTGAGTGTTTTATGTAGTAGGGGAAAAAAGAATTGAGTCATTAAACACTATGACCTTGTCAAAGAAATTAGGATGGCTGGAAAGTGCAAACAAATAGTGGAAATTCCGAAACCCTTGCAAAGCTTGAGCATCACAGCTGCACCTGGTTACGGTGATCACTGGCAGCGGCCTTTAAGGAGCTTGCTGTGGTTCATTTCGCACCTGAGTGTCAACCTAAGCGGTACCTCGAGCTGCACTGGATTTGGATTTTGTCATTCCCAGTGTCTCTTCTCCGAATAGCTATCTCTACATTCTTCTAGTGCATTCTACAGAGTCTCCGTCGTGCCATGCACCACACCTTCCCTGGAAGCTGCTCCAACCACTGGGTCAAGGCAGTGCAAACCTGGAAGGCAGCCTGCCTTCCATCCTCTGCCTGCCTGCCTGCCTGCCCTCCAACAGTACCAGTTTATTGCTGTTTGCAATAAACCGAGGACCACTGCATGAAGATCGCCCTCTTACCCCTGGATCTGGACTGTTCTCCCCTCCCTCAACACACTTCCCTGCACCACCACAGAACATCTTACACTACACAATGTTAACAGTCTCCAGTGTCCTGACCAGTTGCGGACCGTACATTTCACACCTAGGCCTAGTGCTCCGCCTGAATCAATTCACCCCTCAATAACAATTTAATGGTTATAGATCAAATCATAGATTATAGATCAACCATCTTATTATGAGAAATACAGTAGGGATGTCCCGATCCAGCTTTTTGCACTTCCGATCCGATCCCGATCCCGGCCTATCAGAGCATGTATAAAAGTTTAAAGTTATTTATCTACTTACTTAGTTGTCAGACTCATGTGGAACATGGATTTACTCTTATAACAACTTATGGTTAGGACACGGATCTGTGGTTTGGGAGATGCTAATGCTTGTGTGGGATCGCTACAGCTGCGACACTCCCCAAAAAACAAAACAAAAAAACCCTACCAATTATATCCTCATAAACTCGCAATATTATTTAGGAAAAAAGCAATATTTTACTCACTTTTCTTGAAAAGTCCGTCTTGAAAATGGCCTTGAAAGTAAATCTGCCACCAAATCAATTTCTTCTCCTCCTTCAGCCATTGTGGGGTGATAAAATAGCTATTACACCAACACAGCTATATTTTGGTTGGTTTGCTAGCTTTGGCTGGTGCACTATCTGACTATCCAATCAGCGGGTGTGAATACGGTGACGTTGCCTTACACCTGCTTGTAGGCCCTGGTGTCCCCAACCTAAAATCTGATTGGTTAAAGCAACAACGTACTCGACATGTATTTTCTGTTAGGCGGGCCTGCAGAACGGATTGTGAGGGCCTCCTGGCAGAAATATTTGACTCTGACCCTGCCTAGCAACAAATTATGGCTGAAATGTGATTGGTTAAATGCTCTTATATGAAAATGCATGTCTGGAAGTGGCACAACCAGGAGAAAAGCTATGAAAGGAAGAGGACAGACCATTTGGAAATATTAGTGGAATATTAATGGAAGTATTCATGGACAAAATATTATTAACATCCGTCTGTGATTCAGATATTTTCTTAGGCCAGCAGAGAAGGCCTTGCCCACCACTGGTCCTGAGTGACCCTCTGCATGTGGATCAAGATGCTTCCTCGCTCCGTGACAATTTATCTATCAAAGCAAGTTAAGAGGAATGACAAATTCAGGAATAAATAAATCCAAACTCTAGAAAAACAAGAATGATACGACTGATGGATATCAAACAAGTACATTTGAACTCAAACTACACAAAAGAAGGTTATGACGGTTGAATGCAAGGACCTGACAAAAACATAAGAATAACAGAGGGCTTAAATAAAGAGGAGAGTGACTGGTCAGTGGTGGCCGAGGATAATGGATACAGGTAAATGAGATTGGAGATACACCAAGAAGACTGTGAAACGATCAGTGAGAACTGAGGTAAGGCTGGATTAATTTTTTTGCAAGAATAAAGCGAGTTTAATCAATAAACCAAACACAAAAAACTTTCACAGGAAAGAAAACCAACAACAACCTAAGCTTGAACAAAAGAACAAGATTAAGTCCAAGGGCAACAAGCTTTTACAAGAGAGAATGGACTAAAAGACAAAGCAAGAGCAGAGACAAGAGCATTTAAGACAAAACACAGAAAACCTGCGACAAGAAACACCAAAGTCCACTAAATGCAGAACCCATAACAATTCCTCTGGTCACAAAACACAGAAAGGGAGAGTAGAAGACATGCCCAAAAGACAAAGTATGACGTGTGTATCTCTGTTAATATTAGACATCTGCACATAAAATGTGATTGGTCCATGTAATGTGATCCATTTATCACACCCTCTTAAAAGTGATGGGGGTTATTTTGTTTGCTGAAAATTAAACATCCCTCTTTTGATGTAATTTTTGCAGTCATTTGAATTTTGAACTTCCCTTTGCATTAGGTTTTTTCTTCCGGGCATTCTGTTTGCGATTGTTTGTCTGTCTAAGATAGAGAGCTGTGGAGCCTCCCGATGGGTTATGGTTGCATATTGGTGTGACAGGTGCATGTCTCAAACCACGCCTCTGTTAACTCTTTTCCATGCCAGCAACTACTTTGTACAACTATTAGGGACAAAAGGTCATTCAATAATTTCTTACCTGGAAGTCAGATGGTCGTCATCATCACACTTTTTGGACACATTTTGGCCGTTGTTGAATATAATTAGCCCAGAAGAAGATTTACTCCGGTAAGAGATTGAATTAAATCCTTAAAACTCAACTTTGACTCATAATACATCATTTATTGTATTATTTTAACGCAACCATTTGTATAAGAAGCTAAAAATATAATGGCTATTATTATTATTATTATTATTATTATTATTATGTTTAGGTGTGGTTTTCTTTCCTATGAAAGTCGTCTGTGTTTAATGATTAAACTCTTGCTAAATTCTTGCCAAAACTTAATCCAGTCTTGTTTTGCCACTCTTGGCAGTTTCCTGGTAACAAGGAAAGAGTTTACGTACAAATATTGGCTTTTATAATCTTAAATCAACAGAAAAAGGACCACACCATACAAGCAAAAATGCCACTCGATTTGTTTTGTGTGACCATGAGCACACCAAGGTCACTTTTTATTATATTTATTATTATTATTATTATTATTATTATTATTATTATTATTATTATT